CCTGATTTCAAAAGGTGTCATTGTATATTGAATCCCTTATTCAGTTTTACTCTTATGACACATTTATCATTTAAATTCATCAATTGGAATTGTTCTAGTAACCTGCCATAATGTTACAGTTAATAAAGATTTTGACACGAACTCGATAAGCTCATAATTTATGAGTTATGGCAATATATAATGCGACAATATATTATATTACGAGTGTGTAAAATTAAATGAACAACACAGACAGAAGTTTCCGATAGGAATTTCAACCAGTAATCAGTGAGTGCATGGTACTGCAGTAATTAAAACCGTTGTAAATATTCACAATAAATGAAAAAATTGCAATACAGAGTAAACCTAGTGTAATCAATAGCCATTGGTAAGTAAAACAATATATCAAAAATCTAGGAAAATCTAAGTAGTGGACAACCTTAAAATCACCATTTATACCCCTTGGGGTAATTTTATGAGGGTGTACTATTGTATGTATGTATAATAGCTTTATTACTCTAATTTAATTAGGAGATACATATTATTTATATGCAATTACAACAAATATAATAAAATTAACAAATGGACAGACAACCTATTTACAATATGTTTGTATAGATATATATATAAATGTGTGTCTCAGAGTCAGTCAGTGTGATCTTTTTTCACAGCTCTGAGATTATAGTTGATTTTGACTAATTCTGCAACATGGTTCAACTTCAACATAGTATGTTGATCATTTGTACCATTAATGCCAAGGATTGTGTCACAATCAAATCTCACTTTCAGTGCAGTGCAGAATTTGGCCAGTTGCTCTCTGGCTGGAATGTAGCATTCAACTTTACAGTAAAATAAGAAATGTTCTACTGTTTCTGTCTCAAATGAGTCACACATTGTACATAATTTGGATTTGTTATCTCCTCCACGATATTTACTATTGAGCATATGTTCCCCAGTTAACAATTTGAACATTATAATACAAGAAGCCATGGCGCTTGGATATTGCTGTGCCACACACCACCATATATTAGGTTTCAGTATATATATTATATGTATATATATATATTATAATCATATCAATCATCATAATTTCTGTTCTATAACTCCAATCACTATAAAATCTTCAGGGATCATCCATCTATGTCTAGTGAGTTGTCACAACAGAATTTTGACATTAATTGGTCAATTGGTTACCATAGCAACACAATTTAATTGCTCAAAATCTTTAATATTTCAGGTAAATCCAAAGCTTCTTATAATAACAGATGTTGCCATTTCTCTTCAAATCATTTGAAAATGAACATTAATGTACCCTAAAACATATTTGGGGAGCGTTTAATAAGATAACATGATAAATATGATGAATTATATTATATCTTTGACTCTGGACTCTATTCTATTAGGTGACTACCAATCTATCTACTCAAAAGTAGACGTGGCACTTTTCAGTGATGATTTCCTAAAACAGTTATTTTTACAAAATCAGTCACAGTTATATTTATAGAGCTCATGGATACTGATGTTATTCTTTAATATGGTGAGTCTGTACATGGTTGTACATGGTTGGTCAAGGGGTTGTCATGGTAACAGAGCAAAATAAACGCAAATAGTGTCGTGCATATATTTTGAAAAGACTTATTTTATAACATGGAATATGATTCAACCCACAGCGTATATGGTGCGCTTCAATACTAGAACATATCATCCAATAGCCTAATATGGTAGAACCTGAGACCATAGAATAGTTCAGAAGAGCCTAAGTTGGTCCAGCCTCCAGAGTATATAGATGGTACAGCCTCCAGAGTATAAGATTGGTGCAATCTCAAGAATCTAATATGATACCGCCTCTAGACTGTAATATGTATTCAGCATATAGAGTCCAAGATGATACAACATTCAGAATCTAAGATTGCTATAGCAGTCAGAGCCTAGAATGGGTACAGCCTCCATAAGTCTAAAATGGTACAGCCTCCATACCCTTAGATGGTACGGCCTCCAGATATAACATGGGATCAGTCTCCAGAGTATAAGACGACTCAGCTTTCAGAGGCTATGATTGCTATAGCATTCAGAGCCTAGGATGGGTACAGCCTCCATGAGTCTAAGATGGTACAGCCTCCATGGGTCTAAGATGGTACAGCCTCCATGAGTCTAAGATGGTACAGCCTCCATTAGTCTAATATTGTGCAGCCTCCATGAGTCTAAGATGGCACAGCCTCCAGACCATTAGATGGTACGGCCTCCACATATAACATGGGATCAGTCTCCAGAGTCTAAAATGATACAGCCTTCAGAGGCTATGATTGCTCTAGCATCCAGAGGCTAAGATAGGCACAGCCTTCACGATTCTAAGATGGTACAGCTTCCAGATATAGCATGGGATCAGTCTCCAGAGTCCAAGATAGTAGATCCTTCAGATCATTTGATTGCTATAGCATTTAGAGCCTAGGATAAGTACAGCCTCCACGAGTCTAAGCCGTACAGCATGGTACAGCCTCTCGATATAACATGGGATCATTTTTCAGAGTCTAAGATGGTTCAGTCTTCAGAGCCGAAGATGGTTCAGTCTCCAAAGTTGAAAATGGTATAGTCTACGACTAATATTAACAATTAGAGTCTAATATGGCCTCAAGAGTTTAATGGGTATATCTACTTCTATGATGGCTATAACCTTCGATTCCAAGAATCTAAGATGGCTCAGCTTCTATAATCTAAAATTGATACAGCCTACAGAGTCTAATATGGTACAACCTCCAGAGTGTAATATGAATTCAGCCTCCAGAGACTAATATGGTATAACTTCAGAGCATAATTTGGATTCAGCCTCTAGAGTACAAAGATAGTACAGCCACAATAGTCTATGATTTCTATGAAAGTCAGGAGTCAACGATAGGTATAGCCTCCGAGAGTCTAAGATAGTACAGCCTACAAGAGTCTGAGATGGTATACCCTCCAAGAGCCTAAGATGGTACAGCCTCCATAGTCTACAATGGATACAGCCTCCAAGAGTCTAGGATGATATAGCCTCCAGAGTCTACAATGGGTATAGCCCCCAGAGCCTTTGATGAGTTCTGAGAACAGCCTTCGAGAGAAGATGGTACACCTTCCAGATGCAGAGTCTATGATGGGTACAGCTTCCAAGAGTCTAAGATGGTACAACCTCTCCAGAGTCTACAATGGGTACAACATTCATAATCTAAGGTTGATACAGCCTACATAGTCTAAGTTGATACATTTTCTAGAGTCTAAGATGTCAAGAATCACCATTTTGTCACATATAGCATCAATCTGTGATTAATAAATGGATTTAAGATGGTACAGCCTCTAGAGTCGATAGGGTTTGCGTCTAGTGTTTAATGGGTACATCCTCCAGAGTCTAAAATGGGTACAACATCCATAATCTAAGATTGATACAGCCTACAGAGTCTAAGTTGGTACATCTTCTAGAGTCTAAGATGTCAAGAATCACCACTTTGTCACATATAACACCAATCTATGATTAATAAATGGGTTGGGAAATGCTTAGACAGACAAGCGGACAGACGGACAAACAGAGCAGTATTTCAACAAACAGCATGATTAGTTGTGTTACCATAGCAAACGCATATCAACATTATCCAAACTTGTATTTGTTAAAAAAGATCACGTACTAAAACAGTTCTTAAGGATGAATGTAATAAACAATTTGTTAAGGAACAAGGATTACCTGAAATGACCTCTACCAACGATTTACATACATTATGTTGTGTTACTATGGCAACCAATTGACAAAAGATGATTAGACTCACCATACCAGAAAACAACATATGTATTAAAAACCCTTGTAAATATGATTTAGTCAACATGAAATTATTTGGAATTGTAATAACAAAAAGTGCCACGCCCACTTTGTGGTAAATTGAGCAGTAGTTATCAAACATGCGCCAAATATGTCATCCTATTCATCTATTTATCATGTTATCTTGTTGTAAACTCCTTCAATATGTATTAAAGGCAGAATCTGATCTATAGGGGGTGACAAAATTACAAGCAACATGTATGATTGACCTATCAATCTATTCCTTACAATATCAAATACAATATCTCCCAAAAGATTCACAATATGTTATAAATTGGTGAAGTTATTAATGATTCAAAGTGCAAAAATGTTTAAATTCTCCCAAATAATAAGAATGGTAACCATTCTTATAGAAAAAATAATACATTATTGTAAAAATCTTTAATTTTCCTGGTATAAAGTATGCACTTTTGTGATTTTTAGAAAATAGACATGACAAGGAATGACATGAGCCAAAAATATTCTTAAATTGAAACAATTTTTTGTTTAGCCTGCTCGCTATATCTGATTCTCTCTTTAAGCTCAACTTTGTGTTCATTTTGAAAAATCAAAAAAGACATCTGTTTGTAGATTTATCCTTTAATTTAATATTTACAATATTTTGCAATTAAATTGTGTTACCATGGTAACCAATTGACCAATCAAGATCAATCTTTGCATGACAACTAACTATATATGAATGCATAATCCCTGAAAATTAGAATGTGATTAGGGGCACCCAACAGAAACTATAAATGCTTATCATAGTACCCCTCATAAAATAAAACCAGGGGTACAAATAGTGATTTTTACATGTTTTCACTACTTAGATTTTTCTAGATTTTTGATATGTCTTTAAACTCATATGGACCTTTGTCCCATATTTAAGACACAAATCGCTCGAATGAATAAGAATGGATAAGGAGTGTAAAATGTTGGAAGTAATGTTATAAGATAAAAAAAGGTCCATGTGATGTATGGCTAGTGATTTTAGACAGCCATATCTTTCACCACGAGTACTCTCTGGCCATAAATACAGAGGTTTTTGTTAAAACAATGTTTTCTTTCAAGTGAAGTCCCAATGGTGATAACAATGGCAATCAAACAATTCGAAAAATTATTAATAGGGAACCCATGTCAACATTTTTCCAAAATGTTGAGCCTATTTCCTCAAAAGAGGATCTTCTTTTTGTTTGATTTTAATTGCATGAAAAGATTATTCAACAAGGGGTCTAAAACGTCTCAAAAAGTAGAACTGTTTGAACTGTCTAATTTTGAAGATATCAATTTTCGGTGACCAAAATTATGCTGAAAACAATGGATAGCATGAGTTTTCCCTATGGAAAAATAACATGTGATATGTGGTTTTTAACTTTAGCGCATTTCAAACACCATCTTCAGGAATTGTTAATATAGTGTTGAAGAAACTTTCGATATATTTGAATTGAAAAACAACATCCTCTTTTTAGAAAATATGCATGACATTTTTTAAGTGTCAAGGTGGTGTCCTAATCCATTATTTCTTCAGAGAGTTTGATTCATATTTTACTATCTTCGACTTCACTTCAAAGAAAACATATTGTTTTAATAAAAGAAACTTCTGTATTTATGGCCAGATTGGTGGTGAAAGATATGACCGAACAAAACCACTTGCCATACTTCACATGGTCCTTTATTACAAATTGAAAGAAGAAAAATCAAATGAAAAATCAAAGTAAACATCCTGAAAAGTCAACTAAATAGCCGAGTTGATAAAGGGTGTTTTTCACATGTTTGTCACAAATACCAATCATTTTGTAATACTACAACAATACATGAACTTCACATGACATACAGAAAATTTTAATTTCACATTTTATGTATACTGCAGCTCAGTTCTTATAACATGTTCTAGCATTTGCATCATGCTCTGGCGTTTTCCAGTAGATGAAATATGTTTTGTTGTATGTATAGCATACTTTCCTCCAATGATATAGTCTTTGTTGATCGGTTCCATATCAGACTCCCATGATTTGTGATCGTTACATTGCACTTGACTAGTGTACTCATATGCCTCAGAGTTGTGGTAGGACTGCCTCCTTTGATCATTATTGGCCAGTGTTCGTTTATTGACGGTGAGGTCCAGAGGGGAATCAAGGAGCCCATTTTCTGAATGAACCACGTTCGGACGCTCGTAGCCACTATATTTTGAATGATCTGATTGGTTGGCGGTATGCTGGGTGAATGCAACAAGTGGCGGAGGACCCTGGGCGTACTGAGGGTGGAATACGTTCAGGCACGATAAAGGTACAGGAGTGTACGGCGCTGTCCCTGAGTCAATCACTTCATTTTCGTTTCTGTGGGAAAATTGTACCGATGACTCCCTCGAGACTTCAGTTATTTTCAGCTCTTTATTGGAGACTGGCACTATATAATGAGCATCGTCTATGGCCGACTTTATTATTGCATTCTTAGCGGTATGTGAAGAAGACGACGTTTCTGAGGTCCTTGGAAATGAGCCCACCTGGTCGCTCTGGTTCGTAAAATTAGAAGGCGAAACGGAGCCATTGTATTGATATTGAGGCTCTGTTAACCTTAAAAGGGGTCTAGTATATTCAACAATATGTACATCTCGTTGATCATCGTTGGAGTTTGCTATATTGATGCAGCTTTGGTGTTTCAAGTCTTGCGAATAGCATGCAGGCGCATTGCTTAATTCAAAAGGAGATATCCCCATTGCATGTTGTGATGTCGTCGTCGTGCGATAGCTAGCCGGGCTCATTTTCATTGGTTCGACTTGATTTGCAGTGTCGGAATGGCTTTCGGTGTCAATATGTCTAGTAATTAATGATTCATGTTCTCTGTTAGACTCGTTACTGTCCGACTGGAATGACGTTGGTCGCTTCTTCAATGGATACTTCAGTCGATCGTTACCTCCATACTGCGTTAAGCTGCTGCGCTTGGCCTGATGTGGCCTGCAGTCGATATTATTATCTTGATTTGGTGCAATTCTAGTATCTATTGAGGTATGAGGCAAAGGCGAAAGCGATGGACTGTTGCGTAGAGGTCGACCCCTATACTCTTCCCTTTCGTCAACAATACCATTGTTTCTCTCGCTTGAATTCAACATTATCGTACTGTTGCTATGGTGTCCACCTCCTTCTCTGACCTTAGCATAATTCAAAGTTCTGTCAGTTGATGAATGCGTTTCATCAAATCGAACGCCGGCGTTTAACTGAGCTCTGGTTTCTTTATATGGGTCCACGGGTGTAGCGGTGTGTAAACTGTCTGGTAGACATTCACCTTTCAAAAGTATTTGTAGTGTTTTACCACAGCTACTTTGTGACTGGGTATCTCCATAGCAAGACAAATGTTGCTTTTGCTCAGTTGCAGTGGATCCGGTCGCAAAATCGGGAACTGAATACCCGCGGTTAGCAATGGAATGATGTTGCCCAGAATTATCAAATGGTGGACGGTCAATGTTTGAAACAATATAATTGCCCCCAGTTAAATACTGGACTCTTGAGTCGGGTGGTTCCGAATGTCTCCGAGGCGGCAACCTAATCGAGGCGACAGCCTTTTCTGAAGTTTTCTGTTCTGGATGCGATTCGCTTCGATATAGTCCGGAACTATTCCTTCCAACCTTTTTGGAGGCCTCACATGTCCTTAATGTCTGCTTTTGGAGGTGTTCGGCAGAGTCGTCCTTTACTTGCAGTGGCGTCCTGTCGGTTAATTTCTCTACAGGGTCTGTAACAAGGTGTGTCTTTTTATGGTCGCGTAATCCCGACGCGTATGAAAACTTTTTATTGCACTCCACACATTTGTACGGCTTCTCTCCCGTATGAGCTCGTTGATGAATCCTCAAATTAGACGTGTTTGCAAACCTCCTGCCGCATTCTGGGCATGAGTATGGCTTTTCCCCGGTATGGACCCGAGTATGTTTCGTCAAGTCATATGAATTTGCAAATGGCCTACTGCATATCAAGCATGGATAAGGTTTTTCGCCAGTGTGAGTCCTGACATGCCGCTTCAGGTCGGATGACTTGAGAAACCGTTTAGAACAATATGTACAGCAATGTGGTTTAAATCCACTGTGCACTTGAGAATGTCGTTTCAAGTCGGATTGGAAATTAAAATATTTGTGGCATATGCCACATCTGAGCGAGCGGTCTTCTACTACTGGTTTTTCAGGACTTAATTTCGATTCAACCATCGCATACATGCTCTGAATTAAATGAATGAGACTAAAATTATTGTCTGGTCGCTGTGTTCATATTACGTGATGTTACGTCGGTGATGTACTCATGATTCTTGAGCATGAGAACCCGTTTAGTGGATAAGGCTTACGTGCGTTTTGTCATGAATTACTGTCCTGGAGATTTTTTATTATCATGTTCGTTTTTGAAGTACTGTGCACTGGTTTCGCTTTATTTTTTCAATTACGTAGCCATCACATTTTGGGAGTTCCCTGAAAGTAAAAACACAGGAATATCAGTATTATGATTTACCACATAATTTGCACATCAACTAGCCTTGCCCAGGTCGGTCTCTTTTACTTAGGCCTATCTTGATTTCTATTATGACCGCCTTGTACCCGGCCCAGGAGAAAGCCACGTGCTTTACCGACACAATGTTTATGTCGGTAAAATTTGACCAATCAACGACGGATCTGCACGGTCAAAAACAAGTACACTTTTCCACCGGGACTTTTCACGAACAAATGCACGAATTCATCATGAAAATACAATATATTTTATCAGATAAATATCAATCAGAGTTTAGTGGATGCCGGAGCATCGATCGGATAACGGGAGGTGAGAAGATTATACCGACTTGGGCAAGGCTACACATCAACGGAAGTATATGATATTTTGATCGTAGTGACCTCTTTCCTTTCAAATGGCAGTATTTCGAAACATTCTTTGCTTTCAATCGATTTTACCCTTGATAATTGAAATATTTTATCAAAAACATTCCATGATATCTTGTCAAACAAGGAAGTTTTGAGAAATTCACCTTTTCACACATTATATTAAACGTTGGTATGATCAGAGTGAATCACCTTCCCATTGGTTCTCTAGAGCTGCATGGGGAAAATAATAAATGTAAACATCACATTAAACTAATTAGCTTGTCGATTTATGTAACCTTTGGTCTTCTCATTTATGTAAGGACGAAGTAGGTTAATTAGTGACAGCATGAATAATAGGCGTTGTATTTCCTGTCAAGAAATCCAATTGTACTTTTGTACCATGATATGCGCATACAAACTAAATCAATCCGGCCCCCAAAATATAGATTACTTGGAGAATGCACTTCCGAAGAACCTGTTTTGGCTTTTGATAAATCAGAGTCCCTCATTAACATCAAAAGGAGGAACTCTAATACATACGAATAAAACCTCCTCATTTAATACTTTTGGTCGATTTTTCGAATCGAATCTCTGTATTTCCACGAATTTTCGATTCTACTAGGAACTTACAGAGAAGAAATAATGTCAATTACAAAATATCAAAGAAAACTTTATTTTTTATATTTATATTTCTTTGGGAGCATCGACAATAATAAAGTACAACGTTTTGTAACCACTCTGTTGATTTTTCATTCAATATTCTCAAAAATGCAAAAATTACACGACCCGCAGGTCAACATGACCTTATTTTACTTATTTTCTCATACGGGGTAATATATTCGGTAATTCCTCACCTGAGAGTACTGAAAAGGGGTTTCTAATCGGTTTAATCTGGCCCCAATGAATTGCGCGTTTTAGTTTTACAAAGTGGGATGTGTCATAAATATTTGGGACGTTCTTGTTCATTTTCAATTGATTGGGAAACGGCTAGCTAGGATGATTTCCGGTATTGCTTGAATGGAAAATGTGAAGAATGCTTCTTGAATTATTGAATGGAACTGACGGATTTTACGATAAGTGAAATATATAAATCTAACACGATGTCTGTGAATGCTTCAATCTTGAATGATCGTATCAATTCAATCATTCAACCTATTACCTGAATGATAGGCCATGATCCGGATTGTTTATGCCACAATATTATAACCTGACTGAAAACCGAATTTCTTTGGCGATCGCACCCCCCCCCCCCCCTGCTGACTGAAAGCTGGGTACGCCCCTGAGTAGATATTAGTGTCGGATTTATCTGCTTATAATGTAATTGTAGCATGTATTGTAATGTATTGTACCTAATCAGGCTTTCAGTTTGTGCCAAAGGTATAACATGATATGAAAAATAAATTAATAAGTTGGATTAAATTAAATTAATAAGTTTGAAAAATCATGATAAGCTTTAATAAATTGTTGTTCAGTTGAAAACTCTCATGCATCTTTATCATTCAAAGGAGCACGTGGGTTATCGCAAACAATTTCAGAAGGTTATATCTTGGATCATGACTATTTTCTGACAATGGAGACAAGTTTATCTTTTAGATCAATTCATTACACGTTATCTCAAAGAAAATTATGCACAGTAATAATAAAGTAAAACAAACTCAGAGATATTTAATTAGCAATCAACCCATCAACACACTTTTTCAGAGATGTTGACCCCGTTTTCACCAAAAATGCAATCATTTTTTTACAATGTTTAAAGCATTACTATTCTTTATTTTGATGTATCAAATAGTTCCTGAAAGGAAAACTTGATTGCTTTAAGATAAGTGTTCCCCATGTTATTTCTCCATTAAAAAATCTCATGCTATGCATTGGTTTCAGTTCATTTTGGTCATCCAAATTCAGTATCTTTAAAGTCCCTGGAGCAATAAACTTTTCCTTATAGGAAATCAAACATGTCTCAAAGCACATTCTAATTATGCATTCAACAATATAATAAAAGGTTGCATTTTTGGTGAAAATTAGGTCAACATTTTTGAAAAAGTATGTTGACTGGTCCATTACCCCTTCAATGTCACCTAGGTCTGATTAACTAAATTATCATTATATATACTTTTCTTGAAGATAATGAATTGATCTAAAGGATACACCCATGTTCATGGTCAGAAAATATTCATAATTCAAGATAGAATCGTTTGAAATTTTTTGCGATAACCTACGTGCTCCTTTCTCATGGTTTTAAAGTTGTTCTAGTTTGGAGTGGGCTTAAAGGGGCAACAAGGCCTGTAGAGAGAAAATAGGAAAATTTTAACTTTTTCTGAGCTATCAAGGCAACATTTGGCTAAACATCTTCTTTCACATACCTATTTTCTTAAAATATATGGATAAACTATCAATTTTAGCATTAAGAAGTGTTAATTCAGTTCAAAGCTTCAAAAAGGGGAAATCCACTTTTTTATTTTTAAGATCCACCATGTTTCAAGAGCAATATCAGTTGAAATAATATTTATCTAGGGGGTTTCTTTGTAGATAATAAAAATAGAAGTAACTCTTGATAAAATATCCAAACTTAAAATATATTTTGACACTGGTCCATGATCGTTGAATGGCCCCTCTGCACTAATTGTTGCAGCTTTAAACAGGAATTAACAAAACGACTTCTATTTAAAAAATTATCATTCCCAATTTCACCATTCACTTTATAGAACATCATTGGAATTATTGAGTAAAATCCACATAATTTCAGACATTTGATTTCACTTCCTTTAATATCTTCGATTCCACGTGGTTTATTGTACGTACCTGATAATGATAATCCAACTCCACTAATTTGTTTTATTCAAAAATGTATTTATTCTCTAAATCAAAATACAAAACTAGTCATTACGTTAACACTCTGCACTAAAATTAGTGGATAAGTGAGAAGTCCAAATAACCATTTTGAGTCACATGGGAATAAAAGTTCATTAGATCATTTAAATCCTGAGCACCTGAATATTTTATGAATTTTGACCTATATATGATCAAAAAGAATTTTACAACTGCTAGCTTATGGATGTCATATACAAATGTATATCATAAAATGTGTTAAAATGTGCTATGATGCTAAGAAGTCAGAATTATTATATAAACCATTCCAATGTCTTATTCATTTCTAAGTTTATATTTTTGATAGGTCTGAAAGATTTTTATTAGAATGCAGAATGTTTGTATGATCTGCAAAAGTGTAAAAGTATCTGAAACCGTATGTAAACCATTAATATAGAGAATAGAAAGTATGTGGTCTAAAAAGAACATTAAAGTACATCGCAAGTAATTTCTCTTCTCTATGTTAATTATTACAGGATCTTATTATTTTCTTAGTTCGGATAAGTAGCTTTTGAACCAGTTATTTGAAACATTACAATTCTCGAAATCGTTGTTCCCTCTTCAAAAGATGAGACGCGAAAATATGTCCTTATAAGGTAAAAATATTTCCCATGATGCAGTTCGCGGAGGAACAAATTTATACTTCCTTGTTTTCCCTCATAGGTTTAACATGGGGATTTTCACACCTATTTTTCAAACGATATATTCGTTCATATTCCCGTACGAGAGTACAGAAAAAATTATTAGAAACGATTGATCTCTTATTAATCTTAATATAACAGCTATTTTTTCATTGTATTGATTCATAGCGGGGTGAAAACGATGATTGAAAAATGAGAAAACATTACGGAAGAGAGGGTCACGTGATCAGTTGACAAGTCGCCATATTGGAAAAATTAATTTCATTCGACTTTCAATACTTTCATGCCAATCTTACCGCACTACAAACTGCAACATCGATGCAACAACTGAATAAAAGTATTCATCTTCAAATTACATTATAGAGGTACGTTGAAAACCCACAAACAACTGAGCAGTAGACCAAAGAAGACGCGTCGCTATTATCTAGGTCAATCTGTTCAGTGGCCCGAAAGCAAATCTATAGTACTCGTTTCCGAATTTTGTTGTTCATTGTACAATCTTTTATTGATTCAACTCGGTATACTGACTATTAAAGCAATGACAAAAAAGAATACTTCCGATGGTGTCATTGTTTTATTTAGCGTGCGGGTGTAAAAACAGAATTGCGTAATTAGTTTGATTTAGAACTCGGGTCACGCAAATAGCTACGCGAAATGCATAGTGGGAACATATTGACCAATCACATTTTGTCCTTTTTGAGTGCCTTATCAGTACATATTTGCGAACGTTTTGATTCAAAGAGCGAACCGCGAAAGGGAGAATTGACGAAATTTTCAATTATAGAAGAATTTCATGATTGACAGTATCGAAGGCTTTAGTGAATCTAAAAATATGCCGATTGAATGAGATGAATTTTTGCTTGCAGCGAGAAGACGGACCGGTTCGGGGCAATCTGCTTGCAGCGAGAAGACGGACCGGTTCGGGGCAATAGCTGATGAAATTCTTTGTCACAAAGTTTGGCATTTTTTATAAAATCAAACGCGCGTCATTGAAACTCACAAGATGTAAATAGCATGTCACTTACATCATACCTTGATGGAGAAAAAATATCTTATATGTTAGAAGTACTAAATAAAAGTTATCGTGAAAATGAGACAGTCGTTCTCCAGAGAAAAGAGCATAAATGCGCATTTAGAGAGTTTTGGTCCATTTAAAAATCTGTAAAAAATTGGGGTACTTAAAAGCATCGGGAGGTATCATATATTTCAAATTAGACACGAGGAAGTCAATATTGAGCAACTTATGGCTGTTTTAAATTCAAATAAAACCGTTAACCCGTACCGGTCCAGCTTTTGACCCGTACCGTTCAATTTTCGTTAGCTGCGTATACCAAGGGTGTATATGTAAACCTTTTGTATTTTATATTATATTTATTATTTCACTTATGTATTTATCATTAAATTGCCGCTAATGTTGAAAAACTTTGGCAATCAGCTGACTGTGTATATCTATGTTGATTAGAAATAAATCGATAACATGAAAAAGAAACATTTACATTTTTTGATTCTCGAGACTTTCATTTTAAATTCGATTGTTCTCAGGTAAAATGTTCGGTGCGAAATAAAGAGTCATTTTTATATTTGTGATGTTTTTATCAAATAAGCAGTTTTGTGCCTTCAAATTGCAACTGTGTCAGTATGCATTAACCCGCACATCGCATAGATTTGTCATTTTATAACAAAATTGATTTTCTACAAATGGACAGTTTTCTTAAATCCTGACATAAATGTTTCACTTTTGTGATTTTATAACATGGGGTCTATGGGGAATCTCCCCGACTTAGAACTAGAAGTCACATTTTCGAAGAAAATTTAAGGATAGGTAGCGATATGGTGAATTGAATTCAACAATGTTTTTCTCTTAAACCATTTATTGAAAACACTCTGTAAAAAACTGATTGACAACAATTTAATGCGAATATTTTTATAATTGTTTTTGTTAACATTTTTCGTTTTTTAGTGCAATTGTTTTTGTTCCTTTCACCAATTCTTGAAAATGAAATAAAATGTCTCTACGAATCTTGTTGGAACAAAATAGCATATACAACATTTTCTTAGACCTCTCAATATTATAGTTATAATATATAAGGAAATTTTGGTTGATTTAACAAAAAGTATTCAAAAAATGTTTATTAAGACAACCCCCCCCCCAAAAAAATAGATAAAAATTAAGATAAATCTTTTATTTCATTAACAAGATACTTTTTTAAAATCAATCAAACTTTCCTTTGTACAATTACAATATTGAGAGACCTAAACACGTTGTGTTTATGTCGTTTTGTTCCAATGAGGTCCAGATAGATGTCTCATTTCATTTCGAACATATGACACCAAGAACAAAAGAAGTGTCTGATGTGTTTTCTGAAACAATATTACAGGGAAAAGTATATTATATACATATTTCAAATTATATTGTTACCATTCAAAAGATGACCATTAAATTGACAATGTGTAAAAAGAGAAACGTGTGTTCAAAAAAGTTCACCATATCGATACCAATTCTTTTCAAAGTTGATAAACTCTTTTCAAAACAACATTTCTAGATGTAATTTTACATGTAGATTCCAAATATGACATCAGTTTGACTGAATTTTGAATGTCGTAAATCAAGATTATTTCTACTCGCACGTAGTCTATTGGATAACATGCAAATGCCGATTTTCAAAAATGCATCATCGATGTCATCAAAGTTGACCCAGAATTTCACTAGTTTTTTAATAAAATGCCAAACACTAGTGCCATTTTACATGTTATCTAATGAGGAAAAGAGTTATCCAAACATTTGTAGTGGGGTGTACACAACGACATATATATTTGCTAGGCAACTAAATATAAAACATAAAATTGAAGTCTACATAATTTTTCTTATTTGCGCTGATCGTATATTACAAGCTATCTCAGCAAACTTTAATTAGTTCCAAAATACGCCCATTTACCAAAATATTCTCAACAAGTTCAGTGAATGCTGACGGTAGTTAAGAATATCATTAAGTTAACTACAAAAGTGATTGATATATTTTTCCTGGCCAGTCTGTGAAAAAAATATTTTAAAAATCTCAATTCGTTCATTATTAAACTGGAAAATATTCGATATATATGACCAATGGTGTTTAAAACTTATCATTTTTGGATCTGCCTGGAAATTGTTCGAGCGACTGATGGTGACGTCGACGTCGTCAAATAATTTCTGCATATACTCGAAATGCCCAAAGCAGGAGAATAAATCTGTACTCAGTCATTTTTGCACATAACGCATTCCAAGATATTCTATAAGATTTTTAAATGTTTGGAATTCTTAAATATATGATTATCATATAACTTCAACTTACTTTGTGTATTGAAGAAATGGCATCGAAATCCATAGATATATGGCCACGCATAGATACCTTCTGATAGAAGCTAGGTAAAGGAAAACAAACTCTATTTGATTATATTTTCTATTATATCTAATAAAGCCATGAAATACCAGGGCTTCTCGAGAATTAACATTATTTGAGCCTTTGACAGATATAAGATGTTGAGTAAAATTGACATATTTTGAATCGCATTTCTGTACTACAGATTGCATTTATTTTCTAAAAAATGTATGTTTGAATACCTTTAAAATAAGAATGGAATAATATAATTCATAATTCGGAAGGTATCAAGTACATATATTTTCACACTTTGATATATCGGTTTTATTTCTATGATAGTTTACAGTTGAAGTGATATATTCAAAATGTTATTTTACAACTTTTTTCATAAAGTTTTTTTTAGTTGCCTCGTATCATTTTGAATTGATATGCTCATAATTGTGTTTGAAATAAAATATATATTTCTTTTATATGTACGTAACATGTGGATAAATATCTTACTAAAATAGTTGATTGGCTGCTTTATGAGTAGCTTATCGCGTTAAGTTCACTTGCGGATCGAGAGGCTAACAAGGGAAGGGGGGCACATTTCAAGTCAGAGAAGAATTTGCGCTGAAAAATTTGAGTAATGCCCAAAAGGGCCCACTAACTGGCACTACAGTATTTTGGGCCCAAAAAATCCTTTGGGAGGGTCTGGGTCCCATCCCCTCAGATCGTTACGCGGCACCCTAAGGCAGGTTAAGGAGGGGATATCCCTTCATTTGCCTCAACTCGTTATAAAGATGGGCTGCCAACGTTAGGAATAAAACTGGTAAAACTGAGATTTAAAATAAAATAGGTCACTAGCAGTTAGACATGCCTTTTTACATTTCTTTTAAATAACACGTGGAATGCTCGGTTTATGAACAATTAAATTAAAATAATTGATTAAATTTGTAATAAAACCATTTTGTTTTGTTATGAATATGAAATTTAGAAAATGAGAAATATTACATATACCATGAAAAAATTCTGATTTATGATGGGAAAACGTATTTTATTATATTGTTTGGTGATCATAGGATTTTAACAATTTCCTAATGGCGAATACCTAAATATAATTCATATTCTACTAACCTTGACTCAGAGATACATATACCCGTACTTATTAGATTACCAAAATGTTTGTAAATCACCAGTGTTAACCAAGTCTGCAATTATGTTTTTGAATTAATCAGATAAGGAGTATCTAGATATAGACCTGTCTTGTCTAAATAATGACTTGAAATAAACTTATACCCCAAGCTTTTCTGCAGAATGTGCTCTTTACTTGTTTGAAATGGTGCTTAGTTTGTATCTTAAATTGCAAAAATACTTACCTTCTCTTGTGTAAATATCAGAGCTTGACACAAATTACTTGTCTAATTTGTTGAGTGCATTTTTAGAAATTATAATCATAAATTTAGATAATACCATAGCCATGAACTTGACGGTTGACAACTCCTTTGGTTTGGTTCTCAAGCAAATCTTATAGTGTCTTTTTGCCTCTGTTGATGGTACATATTTAAGAGACAGGGGTCTCTTTTGGCTTCTTGGCAGGCTAACACTATAATTTCCCGATAGCAAATAATATAAGTTAAAAATAATCTTCTTGTCTTAATATAAAATTAAAATAACAAGCGACAGAAATTATCGACGAAAAAAAACATGTCCTTGTCTCAGATTAAAAATAAAGTAAAAAGTTTATCATAGCATCTACATCATTTTATTCGGATAATTTCCAATTTTTAGTATTATAATACATTTTGGAGATGCAACTAGATATCAAAATATAATGATTTTCCTAATTTTTAATGAGTTGAAAAATCTGGTTTATTTAGCCTATTTCTTCATATTGTACGGATCTCGCGCTGGATCGAAAATGAGAAATGTTTTGACGATGTACCGACAAATGTCTAGATTAACTTATTATCTTACTTGATAAGACTTGAAATAATAAAACGATAAGCAAAAGCGTTAGAGAGCAACCCCCAACGCACAAGATAAGTCCTAAACTTAGTTCTCAAGACAAATAGTAAATTGTTCTGAGTATTCTTGAAAGCAGAAACACTGAAATTCATAACAGCTTTTGATGATTTAAAATAAACAAATAGTCAAATCAACATGTTGCTGGTACATAGGCCTATAAAAGTTTTTGATAATTTCCGAGAAAAGTATACTAGATACTAGTAGGCCTATCACAAACAAGATTGGCATATTGATTTGTGAGTTTTAATCCGATATTCTGGGCGACGACACGTCTTTCGTACGGCCATTATGGATTGACGGCCCTTGATGAACTGTGTATTTCAAAAGCCCATCTCACTGATACATTGAGAAATTTTTTATTCTTCTAAAATTCAAGTTTAACAAGCCAGAGTGGTTCGAAAGGGTTAATTAATTGTTCTTACGTGAATACGAATAAGAAAATCTTGACAGACCAATATTTAGCTGGACTTCAAGAAGTGGATCCTCCATTGCATGGTTTATACCAAACCGGATTAAAACAAAGTGACTTTGTTAAGTTCCAAGCGTAGGTTTTTATCATTCGATTTTTTGCCATATAAGAAATAATATATTTAACTATGAAATAAGTTTAAATATTTAGATCTAATAATCTAACAATTTGTTCCTTACTTCGTTTGTCTCTTAATTACAAACCTTTCAATCTGCGACGATAGTTCTGCGTTCGCTTGCACAATCTAAGCTTACCATTGTTCCCAATAATTTTGATTTTATTTTTATTCATGTTCACGCTTTGCTATTCCAATTCCAGTTGGGATTTGATTTCACGGTACAGATAATTTATATATATAAATTTGATCTAGAGACCGATGTCTGCATATTTTATATTTTGCTAACTTTCAATGTAAAATGCACATATTGTCCTATACGAAAGCCTGTTTCAAATGATCATTTTATCACGATAAATACTAGCATCCAGGCTGTATATGTAAGGGGCGCCTTATAGGAAACACTGGGTTTATTGATTAAGTATGACAACTAGGTCAGGTATAGGTTTCTACGAACGCAGACTAGCTTCCTAGAACAATATCAGTGCATATGCCCATATATGGTAAATGGCGTAAATTTGGCGTTAAATTCAACTAAAACACAGTTTAAAATACGACTATTCGAAGCAAATGAATATTTAAGTAATAAATAGTGAATTCACCAATAGTTTACAGCATAATTGTGCATGAAAAGCGGATACCCGATTAAAACAACAAGCCGCTAGCGCGACAAAACTGGCGTTTTGCAAAGAGGAAAACTGTACGCCTAGCCGTGCGCCACCTACTGGGGCAATAATATTAGCCTATATGAATAACTAACTTTTTAATTTTCTTTACTGAATTTGTTTTTTGAATTATATTTTGATCATAGATTAGATTAAATAAAAGTGATACAATTGTTTACCATTGGAAGTAAACTAATACGGCCTGGATATGAGCCATGACGTGACATGATTATCGGTCAATGTTCACCGTTTTGTCTACAAAAAGTGACCTATGTTTAAAACAAAATAAACCACATACATTAATTTGCAAAGTTAAAGTACAAAGAAGCTTATCTAACACAATAAAGTAAAAAATATTCGTTTGCAAATTGTCCTGAACTGGGACGTATTTTATAAAATCACTGGCTTTTAGTTACCTTTTTGATGTTCTGCTAACCTGCAAGCATAATCCTATTGAGACTATCGATTGACCCAACCAGGTCGAGCAGTTGTAACAGTGACCTGACGCCAGGTCGTAATTGGTCTAAGTTTGTAATCAAGGACAAATTTAAATATTTTATTCCAGTATTCGCGAATACAGGCTAAATACGCCCCAACGCTAAATATCTGCACTGGTAACATCATTTCGACAATTTAAAAATGCATGATGCAAAATTAGAAATACGATTGTTTGTTGGCAATGCAAGGATTTGTCAATAGATACGTCACGCCACTTTTAGAAATAAATCAACAAAGGTCAGATAATATCTTCAAAGTTATTAATTTTTTTAAACCTGGTGCGAAAAAGTTACAATGCAGTTATTACTAGAATAGTATTTAGGTGCAATACTCAGAAATAGATGGAGCTAACTGTGATTTGACTTTCAATTATAGATCATTATAGGCCTACTACTTATTATGGGGCGGTCATCTTTAAGAATGTTTTCAGTGGAGTGAAATCATTATCTCTGTTCAATAAAACAAAATATATTTCATGGTTCATGTCTTCCTTTAGTGGACATGTAGGCTTACATAAGTAATCTTGATATATAACAATGCCAAGTAGGTCAATATTCCCCCGGGGTTATTGATCTCTTTCACACAGATGCAGGCTATAGCCATAGGCAGTTTGACTTTCAATCAATGAAAACATCATACCTTGGAAATTCAAGATGGGCTATGGCTGAGTGTAGTTCAATGGAACGGTTACGGACTGCTACACTCTTCATATGGTAATTTTCCGAAAGTATATTATTTTCTAACCTCATGAAGGGTTGCATATTCACACTACCCAAATCATTGTTTTAGCACATTTTATTGATCAATAGATGGCTCTGTGCTTAAATTTGTACTATAGCCTAGGCTAGCCAACTTTTCACCTAATATTACGAAAGCAACCATGATATTACAGAATTACATATACTGTATGTAGTAGTAATCAAGTAACTCCGGATCCTTGTATTTACATAAAATTGCATTGTGAGAAATCACATGCCGATAAAATCATGATATTGTCAATGAACTCAAACACTGTTTTTTGTAAATATGTTCCTTTGTAACTATATTTTTTGTATATTAAAATGATGTAATATTATATGTTTGCTCTCCCTTGTGGAGGAATAAAAGATACAAAACAATACAATAGGTTTCGAGTTGAATTCATAACAAATGCACTTTTCAACTTCGGAGTAACTGTTCAAATTCATAAACAGTACTCATATTTCTCATGCATTTTTCAATATTAGGCTAGTTTGCCAGTGAATCGTAGATTTGCTATCAGTATATTTTTTTGTAATCTTTAACCTTACATGTTCCAGCATATATTTGTATTATCAAATATGTCATGGAAAATATTTAAAGCAGTCCAATGCCGTAAATCAAGATTCTACTTGCATCTAGTTAATTGTTAAATACATTTAGCAAAATAATGCTCGGAATTATCTATTTTATCAAATATTATACATTTGCTTGAATTAATAATACCAATTTCATCATAGGAAATGATTTTGCCAAATTTTGCAAACATCACATATAAACGGATCTGTCATTCTAAGTATTTGAAAGTGCCCCCAGAGCTTTTATAACGATTATGCCATATAAGATGGTATATTAATTAAGGTCAGTCTGGTAAATATATAAGCACGAGTGCCAAAGAGAAAGAACCAAAAGTTGTAATGGAACTTAGCAAGAAAAAGCAAACTCTAAATGCATACCAGTCAAGAAAAACAAACCCCATATATCCCAAAACCTTGATCTAACGTGAAAAGAAACAATGTCTAATACCCCCTTTCCCCCACCATTCAAGAACCAATATCACAATCCAAGACCAGAAGACCAAGGGACATTTCATTCATACTCACCCTTGGTATACGCAGCTAACGAAAATTGACCGGTACGGGTCAAAAGCTGGACCGGTACGGGTTAACGGTTTTATTTGAATTTAAAACAGCCATAACTTGCTCAATATTGACTTCCTCGTGTCTAATTTGAAATATATGATGCCTCCCGATGCCCTTAAGTACCCCAATTTTTTACAGATTTTTAAACGGACCAAAACTCTCTAAATGCGCATTTATGCTCTTTTCTCTCGAGAACGACTGTCTCATTTTCACGATAACTTTTATTTAGTACTTCTAACATATAAGATCTATTTTTCCCCATCAAGGTATGATGTAAATGACATGCTATTTACATCTTGTGAGTTTCAATGACGCGCGTTTGATTTTATAAAAAAATGCCAAACTTAAACACATGTATAAAGATTCCTAAATTATGTTCATGCTATTGCCCCGAACCGGTCCGTCTACTCGCTCCAAGCAGGATGAAATTCTTTGTCACAAAGTTTGGCATTTTTTTATAAAATCAAACGCGCGTCATTGAAACTCACAAGATGTAAATAGCATGTCATTTACATCATACCTTGATGGGGAAAAATAGATCTTATATGTTAGAAGTACTAAATAAAAGATATCGTGAAAATGAGACAGTCGTTCTCGAGAGAAAAGAGCATAAATGCGCATTTAGAGAGTTTTGGTCCGTTTAAAAATCTGTAAAAAATGGGGGTACTTAAAAGCATCGGGAGGCATCATACATTTCAAATTAGACACGAGGAAGTCAATATTGAGCAAGTTATGGCTGTTTTAAATTCAAATAAAACCGTTAACCCGTACCGGTCCAGCTTTTGACCCGTACCGGTCAATTTTCGTTAGCTGCGTATACCAAGGGTGATACTGAAGTCATTACAATACATGTTGAAGAAAAAATTTGAAATTGATAGCCAATACTCATAACATCAAAAATAGTTGTAGATACAAGTACTCATACAAGAGTAGAGCATTCAGTCTCAAATGATGTGGGATAGATAAAATCCAGTCTCCAAGTCCATATGTGTGTCAAAGGGTCATCATCCATTAAGGTGTTCATTAAGACGTAGGTTCGGGTGCATCTTTATCCCTAAAGGTCAAGTCAGTGCACATCTGAAAATTAAATATTCTGGTGTGCAAAATCATCATTCATAAAACCATGAATGTCAAAATGTAAAAACTTTCTAAAGTTCACATCATCGATTATATGATGATATCCCCAATCCCCACGTTGGGTCATTTCTTTTAAATCTAAAAAGTATTATTCAATATTAATAGTTTAGTTATATTATTAATCCACTTTACACTTATGCAGCACTAGCCTAATCAATGATTGCATCAAATCAATATAGGATTAGTATAGAGAACCTTCTTGGTCACTCTTTGAATTGTTCTTTATTTACATATACATTTTAATTTTTTTGATTAAATAATTCAACTGATCTGCTCCGGTTACGTTCCCAGCTCCGGTTACGTTCCTATGTAATATTTTTAAAACTTTTTTTTGAATTAAACAAATCAGAGTCGTGTGAATCAGAAATAACAGAATTATTCAAAAGTATAAGGACTATTCTGTACTTTTTTCAAAAGTCTATACTTAAATGTTGTGAAAAGTTATAATAGAAAAACCATCTTTCGGAGTAAAGTCCGTCTGCGCCGATTTCAATAACTTCGTACTTGATCAGAACTGGGTTCCAACAGAATTCCTACAAACTCATGAATGAAATAGTTATTGCATGGAATACTTACTTTTGTCAAAATCAAAATAGAAGTCTAGTTAAAAAATATATTGTGCTAAATCATTGCCATTTCTTAGTAAAATGTCGTTCTCCGGTACGTTGCCAAAATTATTCGATGGTACCCCGTGTTTGATATATTGATGCATATTTTGGAAACTGATAATCACTTATAAGTAATTTGTTCGGATTTCCAATAATTAAATGAATTGAACACGTTGGAATATTCAGATTTTGTAAACATAACATTATATAAGCAGCAAATTAAGATGATATTGCAAACACAATAGTAATGTATTCTGAGATGAATATTTGTAATTATATTTCTATAGATTTGTATTTGAGTGTAATAAAATCGAATTTAGAGATTCCAAACATTATTTGCCTATCTGTTCAGCATTTAGGGGTGGAAGAGTTGTGAAGACTAGCTCTAGATTTGACAATTCTGCATTTTATATCTTGTTTGATGAGTAAATTAGCCTTTTTTGAAGTTTTTTGGGACTCCTGAAATCCGACGTCATTTACTGCCACATTGCAAAAA